TCCAGAGTTTTGATAACATAACTTTGAGTAAAATCGAATTTTCCTATCTCATAGATGGAACTCTTTTCTACCTTTGGGATAGTCCAATTTTGAAGAGTTTGTTCAATTTTTGCAATTTGAAGTTCCTTCGAATTAATATCATTTGAAATATTACTTGATGCAGATGCAATATTTTGATCATCAATTTTTTCGTTGTTTTCTTGAAAATATGTTGACGTATTACTACTTCCTTCTTTTGAACTACCACATTTACTAAACCAATTAGACATGAAAGACATAATTAAATGCGACGAAAGAAAACAGTAATCTTACCACTGTAGACACAATGCTACAGGCAAGACTGATGTTTTACCAAAGCCTACAAATGGGACCACCCAAAACGCCTACTCCGGCTAAAAGGGACTGATCAACGTCCAACAGTAGACATCCATGGTTACACACCAGTATGACCTTTGACACGATGATAACAATAGCTTGACACTTGTTTACTCTTACAAAACTCAATTATGATTTTGATACCAAATTAGGCCCAAGTACAGGTTAAGGCAATTATGGATGAAAGTACATACACACACATGAATATATGTGTGTGTCATTCTCTGATTTTTGATAATTCCTACAAAGAATTGTGGTCGTTCGTTTTTTCTCGCTTCTGTATGCATCAATATTACTGTGTAATATAGAATAATATCTAGTTCTACATAATATTGAAATCAATTTTCATTTCCAACAAACACTCCATCACCATATGGAATACAACAAAATAATCAAGAAAAAATTGACCGGTGCTTACAAAACAATAATAACGTGTACAATTTCTTTAGAAATTTAGGGTGCGTTTGATTTGCGTTTTTGTTTTTAGTTTTGAATTCATTTTTTATTTTCTGTTTTAAGGTATTATTTTAATAATGTAGAAAACGCATTTGGTTTATAAATTTTAGAAATAGTTTTATGACTTTTTTTTCTTCAATTAATTTGATTATTTAGTAAAACATATCAATTTTATGCTTATATGTGATTATTTAGTTTTATGAGTATTTGTATTTGGGTGGATTTTGTGTGATTTTATTAATTATTTTAAAATACGTTTTAATATTTTAAAAAATTAAAAACTGAAAATGATCTCAAACAATAAATCGAAAGATCAAATATCAATATTAAGGCGTTGCCACGTAATAAAGCTCTCGGCAATAGCAACACGTTCTATCTGCTTTAACCTACCTATCAACCGCCGTACATCTCTCTCCCCAACAATTGCCTTTCTCAAAATCAACCGTTCACCGTCCAAATAATTGCATGTGCTCGTGAGCTCTATTAAAGATTTCAAATGAGAATTAATTTAATTACACGCTTTTATCTTTATATGACAAGAAATATTAAAAATTTCTTTAGAGTTTGATATTAGTGTTAAACACCTTTTTAAATAAATTTATAAAATAAAAATATTAATTTACACAATTTTATTTAGGCTACGAAACCAAAATCAAATTAGTCGGTTTGTATGAATTTCAACTCAAATTGACTCACTCCTTAACTCTTAAACCCAATCAATTCAAACCATATCGACTTGGTTGTTTCGGTTCGGTTCGATTAGTCGGTTTGAATTTTTAGTCCAAATTGAATATTTTTTTAAAAAAATTTGTCTCGAATTTCATGCCCACTTAGATTATAAACACACACAGATAAAAGTACGTCCGTAATGACCATTTCTTCATTAAATTTTTCCATGTTCAATCCAAAACTTGAAAAGTGGATGAATTTCAGCACAATGTAACCCATTGGCAAATTCAGATTTCAATAACCAAGCACTCAGTATTGAGTAGAGGCAAACACACTCTCAAGTCTCAATTTCATCGCTATCCATTTTGACAAGCAATTTTCTCACGTTCTGAGAATTATGGGCTTCAACTACTTAGCAGTATATGGTTTGACACTTCAATTTACTCCCAGGCCCAAAAAAAAGAATCAAAAAATAAAATGAAAGATCGTCAGCAACATGGAATGATGACATAACCCATCTAGTTTCACTAATTATGAACAACGAAATTGCAAACAACCTTGAGGAACACAGATAGAATTTATGACATTAGAGTTTATCTTTTGAATTTGATTTTCTTTTCTAAATACATATAAGTGGGTTGGGCCGGTTCGATTAATCAACGGTTTGAGGTTTTAAATCATGGCCGAAGCGATTTACCGTGATTTTATTTAAAATAAAAAAAAACCAATTAATTATGTCAAACCAATCCGAACCGACACAGACACTGACCATAGTCGGTTNATCATGGCCGAAGCGATTTACCGTGATTTTTTTTAAAATAAAACCAAACCAATTAATTATGTCAAACCAATCCGAACCGACACCGACACTGACCCGAGTCGGTTCTGTTCAGTTCGATTGGTTTGGCCAATCTTTCGATTTTTTTGCTCAGGCCCTTCATTTTTTCTCAAAAACATTATGTTTACATCTCTTGTTGTATCCTTTTCAGTTCTTACTTCTATTTCGGTGCAATCTAGATCAAATTGTGTAATAATTTAAAACAAAATAACTTTCTATAAATAAGTGACAACAAAAATTAAGAATAATACTACTTATACATAATAAAGTTACATAACGGTTTACATATAGATTGGGTGTCAAAAAGAGGATAGATGAGTTTTTTTTTTTTGTTGAATAAATTCTGATCCAATCATATCTCATCAAATTATATATATGTAACCATTTTGTAAACTATTATGTATATGTAGCACAACCGAAAAATTAAGTACCCACCCATTCTTAAATACTAAGAAGTCGACTTCAATATTTTAACATAGCATATTAATTAATTGATGAATAATTTGAGCACTTGTTTTGGCCTAAAAATGTACTTGAATTGACACATAATTTATTAACAGCAAAGTGCAGCACTTGTTTCTGCTACACAAATATTCCATCTAATCTTCAAAACTATATCCCATTCTTGTTCCCACTCTCTCCCTCCAAAATAACATTCATAAGGCTTTATGAACTTACATTGGGCACTTCCAGAACTGTACAAACTCTGGTTAGTATCCAAATGTATTTGCACGCACAGACACATACTAATCTTGCTGATGACTGGTGGCTTGACTTGGGAATGGATAAGCATTAAGTTTCAAGTCAAGCTTAACACAGTTGGCTGGGCAGCTAATTGGATAAACAAACCATATTTCGTACAAGTTTATCTTATATTTCGGTAGTGGCTAATTAAAGTATTACAACTTAGAGAAACTCAGAAACAACTGTGTCGTGGAAAATATGGTTGTCTGAGAGTGACTGAAGCCACTGCTATTGGCCGTTGATACAATTTGCTAATTATAAATATATGTACGTGGATTAGGAATGACTTCACTTTAACAAAACATGTCAAAAGATGTACTGAGATTTTATTTTATCTCTCTTTTTATTTTTTTCTAGCTGTTGGCTTGTTGTATTATGTGTGAACTAGGAGTGGGGTTGTAGAGATTTTCGTACATTCTTGTGTACATCTTCCCTTACATTGTGTAATGTGGCACCATCATCTCCCTTTGATTTCCCCGACAATCTTTCTCTTTCTTGCCTAGATTATGTCACATAAGGGGACTATCATCCCATTTGATTTCCTCAACAATCTTTCTCTTTCATGTCTAGATTATGCCACATAAGAAGGACAGTAGGGGAAGATGTACACGTTAGCATTGTTGAAAAAACTTTTTCATCTGTATATCACAGGTTGGATTGAATTTAAAGCAATCATGGAAAAATCTAGAGTTTGGTCTTTGTCTTTGAAATCCAAGAGATTCGTAGATTGGCTAGATTTCTCTTTTTAAGTGATTAAAAAGATCCTTTTTACACGGGCATTCTGTTGCCTGATTTGACTATTTCTTTCTCATTTTCGTATTTTTAGATTTAATCGTTGTTACCCTTTTTTATTATTTCCTCCTCTTTTCATCATTTTTGCAATTAGGAAAGGTTTGAAATGGTTTCATCCATTGTAGAATGTGTTGTCCCTCAAGGCATTGGTTCTTCATTATCTTCGTCCCTTTTTATCTCCTCGTCTTCTTCGACGAGAAATCGCAAAAGGGACCAAAAAGTCTATCAAGTTGTCCTTTCTAATCCGTTTTCGTCTGAAAATGTCCGGTGGTCTCAAACTTTTAGCAAGACTCTTTCTCGAGGCCATACTGTTAAACGATCTTGTTGTTCAAACTTGGGCGATATTTTTTACGAGGAACCATCCAATCATGTGGAAGGATTAAAAGAAAGATTTAACCTATTGGGAGGGAAAGAGAATGAAGGAGATAGGATTAACAGGCTACAGAATGAAATATCTGAAACTAGTCCTTCTACCAGTAAATATTTAATGATTAAAAATTCATTCTGCCAATCGGAATTTGATTTCCTAGAACCCATAAAGCTCGGGATTAGACCCGAGGCCCCGGATTGGCCAGAACGGGATGCTATTATGTGGGCGACTCTTGAACAGAAGGCTAAGAGCTTCGATCTTCCTCTCTCTCTAAGGATGGTAAAGAAGAAATTACAGTTGGAAGAGGCCTTTACGCATTCTGAAGATATAGTTTGTTGCTCGGTGAAAAAGGCATTTGCCTCAATGGTATTCATTGTCGTCGAGCTTCAAAGCTATGCATTACAGATGAGAGAAGCGTTGAGCCATGAAGATCTAGAGATTATTATATCTAGAGTACATAGGGAAATGCATTCGTCATTTGTTTGGCTTTTTCAGCAAGTGTTTTCAAGAACACCGGGATTGATGATATATGTGATGGTCCTATTAGCAAATTTTAGCGTACATTCTGCGTGCCACAATGTTTCTTTTGCAGAAGCCTCCTTACTCGGATCATCATCAATAGAATCAACTTTGGTTTCAGATAGTGGAGTTTCCGAGAGAGATTATGTACTATCTGAAGGAAGTGTAGGTGGGAACGACCAAAAGATCAATCCATCAAAGGTGAGTAGACATTCTCAAGTTCTTCACGAAGAACTTTTGCAGGTCGATCATCAAGATTTGAAGAGTGTGGAGGAGTCGAATTTGTGGAACTCAGTGGTGGAAGAAGCAACAAAGATCCAAGCAGGTTTTAGAAATGCGATTCTTGATCAGGACATGATGCAACGGTTTGTTTCCCCGGTATCTGTCGAGCTAGAACCCGATGACTATGAGGACTATCTGAGGACTGACCTTCTATACCAGACTGCCCTATCGCAGGAGCCTAACAATCCACTTCTACTATGCAATTATGCACAGTTTCTGCATCTTGTTACCCGCGATTATGACAGGTAATTTTCTCAAATCTTCATACTGTTTTCTGATTAATGTCATGGTTATAGACATTCTTGATTATGTTTTCATTGGCTTATCAATTGTAAGAACTTTTACAAGCAATTAGGTCAACATTAGGTAGGAACAAAACCAGACTTCGAATGTGTCTGCTAATTAGCAATGTAAATGAGCTTATATATCACAATCAATCAATCAAATGGTTCATGATTATCTGTAAGGAAGGATTAGGGAATTCCTAACGATTGCAGCTCTCTGAAGTCTGAACCTCAAGGAAAAGCATGAAAAAAAAACATGGCTAGAATGGGATGATCGTCTGTCAATCCCAGAATGAAAGGCATGATCTTGGATATGTTTATGGGTTTTTATTTGAACTATGACACGATTTTAGTAGCCAAGCCGTTTATGTGAGTCTATTATGCGCACTCTTGTGGAGAATTGTAATATGTTCACCTCAGTTTCTCCTATACACTTTGCTTAGCTATTGGCTGACATTTACAGGGCAGAGAAGTGTTTCAAGCAGGCGGTACAAGCGGAACCACCAGATGCAGAATCCTTGAGCCAGTATGCTACCTTTCTGTGGAAAGTTAGGCAGGACTTTTGGGCAGCAGAAGAAAGATATTTACAAGCTCTGGCTGTTGAACCTGACAATTCTCATTATGCTTCCAAATATGCCAATTTCTTATGGAACACTGGCGGGGAGGAAACTTGTTATCCCCTTGACAATTCCCACCCGAGCAGCTCAACTTCCAACTTCTAGAGAAACTGTAAACTGGTATGGCCATAGAACAAGAGGAATCTAGTACCAACTCTTGAGTGGGACTCGTCACCTAGCATTGGCAGGTTCAGAAGAATGAATTTATACATGTATGAAACATAATTATGAATAAAGTTTGAAATAGAGGGAGATTTAGTGTTGGCTCTGATGTAGAGATCATAGCAGGAGGCTGAAGCAGCAGATTCCTGCAGCCTGAATTTAGTAAAACTGCTTGGTTTGTGTAACTAAAGCTTAAAACACATATGTATTGTTGGAAAATGGTTCCAAAATCATTTTTAGTTTTGAGAACTTAGTCTGTCTAATCTAATGCTTTTTGTTATGTTTTGAGAACTTAGTCTGTCTAATCTAATGCTTTTTGTTATGTTTTGTGCCAAGGACATGTTCCATATATAAGATAAAGAATGTTTCCTATGGTTGATTTACAAGGACAACGTCATAGATATATTTTCCTTCTCACCATATTTTACCCTAAAATTAAGCAAGATCCATATTCACCCATGTGACTATGTATGAAGGCGCAAGAAATGGAATTGCTGCTCCATTGGTTAAATTTTTTCCTTACCTTTTTCTCATCACAACTAAGGATCTGCATCAAACTATGAAAGATCATAACCTACAAAATGCATCAAACGTTTGAAATTATGTTATGTTACGTCGCTTTATGTGCGAATTCGTTCAAGACGAATATGTATCAAGTTGATATAGTATTTCCTATATCTCTATCCAAAATTGTCAGATGTATAAAAATCGTGATCTCAAATGCACTGGACCAATTTTATATCAGTGTTAATTATACTTGTTACTACAGTTGTATATAACGTTGTGTTGTCATAATCTTGTCTTTGTGACTTATTTTCACTCATAAGTTGTGACAAATATGTAGAGGATGGTAAGACTTCCTTTTCCCCAAAACGCGAGATACATATCGATTTTGTCCTATGTTTCGGAATGAAGAACAAGAATATGGATGAATGATAAGGATGAAATTGCTCTCACCAGATCGAGCAAATATGGTAAAGATGAAAGATTTCTCTCTCCACAAGACTTCAAAGAAGGAACGGTATACGAAATTCAAACTTTGAGCAGTAAACTTAGGATAATAATTCTTAGATTATAATGATTCATAAAAAATCAAATTCTAAAAAATATATTTAAATTGGATTTTTATAATAATATATAATTTGTGAATAAAAAAGGGTATTATCTAATATTTTTAAGGAAAAATTAAAAGCATGGTTTCTTTTTTTGTTTACCATCTGCTTGTAGCAACTGAACTTGTGTAGCTTCATGGATGAGTCGAAGATTACCCACAAAGACTCAGCTTATTCGACAAATTCGAAAACCACTATCTTAAATTCGTGTAGTTTTGTGAACGTACTATAGATAAAGCACGACTCCAAAATAAAATCTTTATAAGGGGTAAAATTAAAATATTATTTTGCAATGACTCGTAATATGGTGGAGGGAAAAAAATATCTAAGACATCATTAACGACAATTGTTGATAACATCCTATTTTTCCTATGATGGCCAGGGCGAAATCATTTTTTAATATAATATAAAGTGACATCTGAGTTGAATATCAAAGAAAATGTTTTCCCTAAAAACAAGAAAAATTAGGTATATATTTAAAAGTTGGAAAATATTTTTCATGAAAAAAATATTTATCATAAGTTGATGTCCTCTTTCCATCTTTTCATATATATTTGGTGCACTAACAGATTCAGCAATTCCTTTTTACACTTTTTGTCTTCAAGAAAATTGGTAAGTGGGCAGTGTTTCTCTCCCAACAATACTGAAAATGTTGGGGAAATGGGGGTTTTCAGTAAAACTTCCATTAGGTAGTGGAGACAAGAAAGAAACTGACGGAAATTAGGGCCGCTTCTTACACTATTATTTTAATTAATTTATACAAAACATTATGCATTTAGCCTCCTCGAATCTATGTGTGTTTTACAACTCAGATTGTACGTTGTTATCAGTTATCTCTATCTACTTGGAAGATTGTTAATGACAGGAAAATCCGAACACATTTGCACATTTACCCACTTCACCTTTTGATTTTTCCTATAATTTTTTATTTTTTTTAGTATCCTGAAAAATGAAATAATTGATGTAGATTAACTAATATTTTTTATATTCAAAACGATGGGTTTATTTTAATTTGTATAGAATAAAAAAAAAATTCTTATAAAAATGGTTTATATCCCAATTTAAGAAAAAAATTGTGTGGTTTAACTAAGATGAATGACGATTTTATTTTAACTCGAATAACATCAAAACAAAATTATTTGTCACGTCATGGTGTCGTTGAATCACATTAATTATTGAAAACTTAAGCTGTTAAAAAAAGAAATAAATTTATTTTAATTTTGTCTCCATTCTAGCAAATCACATTTAACTTGTAGGCAAGATTTATGGAAACACTGGAGAGCTAGAGTTTTGTTGGGTCTATTTATGTCCTGTTTCATGATCATTTTTGAGGTAAAATGTATTATAGAATAATGATTTTTAAGAGAATATGTGGTTAAAAAGTAAGAATTCTTTGAAATTCTTGAAAATGTGTGACTGAAAATGAGTTTTTGAAAAATGCATTCTTGAAAAAATGAGGCTCAAACAAGGGCTTAACGT